GAATGAGTGCATCATACTCCTCTTTCATTTCCCATTTCCAATTATTTTTATCAGGTCCTCTAACAGCACTTGAATATGAATCTGGACAGTTGTCAACAAAACTTTCAACAGTCATGAAATTAGTTTCATAATCCTGCAACCACAATGGTGGGCGTCTAACCCTCATCATTGTACCTGGTTCATTCTCAACCTGTTGTACAGGAACTGCAAGTACATCATCAGTTTCAGCATCACTTAATACAGATGCAACCGAAGTATGATCACTCTCATTCAGATTTACAGTAGGGTCATCTAATGATACAAATTCCGTCTCAAGTGCAAACAATATAATGTTATATTTTAGCGTCCTGTTGCACTGATTTAAGTCCATGATTTATTTTATCCGTCTTCTAGTGCATACATTCATCTATCCCCTCTTCTCACTCGCACTACATGTTTCGGCCTCAGACGGCCATCATCAGGTGTATAACACTTACGTTGCTGTCACACTGCATCCAGCCCAAATTTTTAACATTTAAAACACTTTCCTTGTTATTATCAACATCTACTTCATTGATATCTGTCTGGTTTGTAGATTATTTTACACACGTTAATTCTGACGTTCCTGTAGTAGCACTATAACATTTTTTGTTCTAATTTTAAAATCTTTTAAAATTTTTCTCTAAATTTTAAATTGTTAGGGTTACTCGCCCTATGTCTAAAGTGCTGCAGCGGCTAGTTCTTGTTTCCACAATGTATAGGTGTTATCCTGTGTCGTCTTCCTGTGTGCGTGCCGCTGTTATTCTTTACTACGTAAAGCAACTTTAATACAAGAAATGGGACCAATGCTGAAAGTTACATGGGTATGCATCAGCACAGCAATTGTGTATGTGTGCCAGGATGGCCAGGATAGTGCAGTCGGTATCGGTCGGTATAGCGAATAGCTACTTGTTGGATGACCGAGGTGTTGGAGTTCCAAGTCCTGGTGGGGTGAAGAATTTTCACTTCTCCATATCGTTCAGATCAGCTATGGGTCCCGCACAGTCTCCTATTCAGTGTGTACAAGGGTTTATGTGGCCAGAACGTGAAGCTGACCACTCACTCACAACTAGTGCAGAGATAAAAACACCGTAAGTCTATACATCCACTCCCCTATACGCCTTCATGGCGTAGTTCTTACTTGGTTAAGCACAGGAACAACTTTGCCTTACCTCCCTAAACCCACAATTTCTTACATAACGCAACCCATACCTCGCTTACATGCCGCCGCAACAAACTCATCTCGCTCATCTCCATGCCACTACACTCACTACAACAGTACAAAAACAAGTGGACACGAGAATGTTGTCCAGCTGTAAATGTGAAATACGTTCAGGAATTCGTCATTCTGCTGTTTGCACTATGTAAAGAGACCAATAGTGATGAACGGACATTGAAAATTACAATATGATGCTTGACACTAGAAGTGTATTAGAATGCCCCTCGAGAAAGCACACAGTACATAAATTTACTTAAAAACTGGAACTACGAGTATTTTCGACGCCGTAATAGGAGAAATGGCCGTAAGAAAGGTTTATCTGGAAAACATAAAAGAGCGCCAGAGGAAAAGAAACTGTCTAAAAGATATGTTTGAAATAAAACCGAAATACTTCAGAGACCGTTAGAAAAGAAACGAACAGAAAGATATTTAAGAAAAGTACAGCAAGAGTCGTAGGATAATTTTGTTACTAATTGATCTAACTTTTACACAAATTTATACTTTGCCCCCAGGGTGCATTTATGTATTTGGTCTGAGTGTGAATTCGTATGGACCGGTATGGACAAACTTCATACCAGGGTTGCCAATATATTGAATCTGTCGCAAGCGCTAGCAAGGGTGACGAGATCTGACGTTTGTAGAAAGTACTATAGTGTTTTTTTATTAGCGTGAAGCTACTTGCCACCTGCTTAACGCTGGTTTCTTGCTTACCTTATACTTCCAACACTACAGTATTTACTGTAATGTGTCACTATTCATTATGCCAATTTGATTGCTGTGGTCCAATGTTTTTCATAATCCGCGGTTCACTTTCTATTTCCTCGTCAAACCACCTACATTAAGAAGAGTCTTCTAGGATGTGGCGCCCTGTAGATCTTGTGTGAACAGACATTTCAGAGGAACGGATCGCCTCCCTCTTCAGGGTATAAAAATCCGCGAGCGAGGAACCAGCTGCAGCCATCTGCTCACGTTTGTTCCTCGCTCGCAGATATTTCTACCCTGAAGATGGAGGCGATACGTTCCTCTGAAATGTCTGTTCACACAAAATCTACACGGCGCCACATCCCAGAAGACGGCATTGTTCATAGTTACCGCCGTGAATACCTCAAATCCTACACCTACATTAAGTTTCTTTGAGCTCTGATTTGCCAGGTTCTCACTACAGATGTCTGGGTTCAGTACTGGGCGATTTCTTGTGAGATTCAGGATGGATGAAATGCAGGTTGTTCTGGACTTACTAATCGTTATTTCTCTAGTTTTATATACTCATCTGCCACCACCCCGTGAGGTGTGTGATAGCCCTGAGGAGGCAGCACATTACCACATAAGATTCATCTCTGTCCCAGCACTTGCCTGGTCACAAACCAGAGAAGTTGAGCTCAGATTCCCAGTATTAACTGTCCTTCACTGCATAAAGAAATCTGAGTTTCTCACAGGAGTATCAAAATTACTGTCCTCTGCGACACAGTTCTGTGTAGTTTGGTAAGTAGATACGAAGAGTTTGGAGGAATGTGATGTCTCCATTAAAGGGTAGAAGAATAATATACCAAATTACAGTGTCACAACCTGGAAGACTGTTATCTCATCAACTTCTTCCATTAGAATATTTACAATGTAAAGGTAAAAGTTGTCCCTGTGTTTAACTAATTAAGCTCTACACCATGAAGGCGTATGGGGGAGTGGATGTATAGTTCCACATTCTCTTAACCTCAGCACTAGCTGGAGGTCAGCTTCACGCCCCAGCCGCTTTGCCCCCAGGGAAAGAGTCCCTGGTGCCCATTGGATAGGAGGTTGGGTGGCCCCCAGAGCCTGTCTGAACGGAATGGAAAAGTGAAAATTCTTGACCCCACTGGGACTCAAACTCCGACCCCTCGGTTGTCCAACCAGTAGCCAGTCGCTATACCGACTGTGCTATCCCAGCTCTATCGATGCACCGGCGGTGCACCGGTCGCCTTGAAGCGCAAAGCCCTGGAACAGGTCAACAAAGTAAACATTCTACTTGTACTTCCTGATAGAAAACTTCAGTCCAGTTACGACTTCTGTTTTTATATCAGAAAACTCTAAAATCCCGAATTTTCTAATACAATTAACATGTCTGTATTTTACTAATACATCACACTCGATCATACTCGCAAAGAACATGAACATGGCGGGGAAAAGCGCACACAAAATTGTGACAGCGTGATTTGGGTACCGCACAAATTGATATAGGAAAGAGAAAGTATGAGCACAAACACACCTAACTCTCACCACGCAAATGTTACATTTGCTAGCGTCATTGCTGCCATGAAGCTAGAAGGATCATGTTTCTCCGAAACACCGGACACCTTTTTTACTATCATGAGACGTCCACGGCTGGAGGGAAAATCCAAAACATTTACGTGGGTCACTGTGAAGACCTCACATCTTTACAGCGCAAAAATTTTCTGTATCATCTATCAACAAACCGCAAAGCTGGGCTTTCGTGGACATAATATCACGTCCATTCCGTTACCGAGACAATATACTGGACCCAAATACAGGGTGTTTCACGACTTTAGGGCATAATTGCAGGAGGTGATTTCCTAGGTCTTTGTGATCAAAAACGTTCATATAAACATGTGTCCGATTTGGGACGGTTACGGAGTTATGACCGTTTTTTCATTCCCGTACACGCCATCGTGTGAACCGCGTCTATCATCTGGCAGGTCGCTATTTCTAGCCAGTTATAGACAGAGCGTTCTCGTTTTCTCGACACTTGAGAGGTACCTAAGGCGCGGTGGGTTGGTATGTAAGGCCACGGCTACTGTGGCGGCTACTGGTGTTCAGAACAGTTCTCATCTCGGTGCGTCTGTTACGTTCACGATGCCATTTACATTTTCATTTGAGGAGTATGCAGATATGATTTATGTGTACGGGTTTTGTGACGATAACTCAGGTAGCTGAATATCAGCAACGGTTTCCGAATCGTAGAATACCGAACCGGAGAGTGTTTGCTTGAGTTTACCAGGCATTGCGAGATACCGGCAGACTTCCCGGCGTTCGTATTGCAGCCGAGCGTGGTGTTAATGAAGAAGGCATTGTTCGTATGGTACACCGCATTCCACGTACGAGTACGCGAAGAATTGCCAGCCAGGTCTCCAGACTTAAGCCCACTGGATTATTGTGTGTGGGGATGGAAGAAAGAACTGGTTTACAATGTGAAGGTGGCAACGTGAGATGCTTTGCTCGGTCGCATTCTGGACGCCACTGACCACATAAGGAACAGCCAGCTGAAGCTGCTACGTGCTACCCGCGCGGTTCACAACCGAGCGGCAGCCTGTGTTGCGGCCGGCGGTGGCATTTTCGAAAATCAGCTTTAAGCACCAATCATTTCAAATTAAAGGTAATTTCACGAATTTAACTTTACATTCATACTTTAAATGTATCATGTATTATGCTGGTTTATTATTTTGTTCCGTTTATTATCAGTAATCGTTACCTTCTATTCTGAGTTTAAAACGGTCGTAACTCCGTAACCGTCCAAAATCGGACACATGTTTATATGAACTTTTTTGATCACAAAAACCTAGGAAATCACCTCCTGCAGTTATGCACTAAAGTCGTGAAACACCTTGTATAACGATTCTTTCCAGCTGAATATTCAGACACGCTATTGATAATCACAGAACACATTAATATATGCACTCTAGGTATGCTAGGTTACGGCTAGGTATGCCCGAGAGTAAATTCAAACAAATAATGTTGGTGATCCTGATACGAACTACTCTTGACAGAAGTAAGAAATGGACGATGGTTTGGGAAATATGTATATATATATTTTTTTTTAGTTCAGGAAGTTAGAGTACAAATCTTTCGCCGCCTATCTTCAATGGATTGCATATCTTGCTTGACATTACATATAGTATGCCATTCATGTGCATTACTGCGTGATGAATTATAGATTGAGAGATTTGAATTACATAATTGCGTGAGGGATTTTATGATCGTTCATGATTATTTTTAAGGCGGAGTGCAACATGTCCCTAGCTTGTTTTGGGAAATAATTTACAGCTGACGGATTACCAACATACCACGGTTAACCTGCAACATACAGAGCACGGATCGGCTGATACGGAGAAACTTCGACGTTAAAATGTCTAGTCATTGTTAAAATTCTGTTTTAACTTTGTGTAACAGTGTGGTTGAATATAAATTTGCCTGCAGTCAAGATAGTCAAGATGGAAGATTACACGTCGGATAGTAGTGATAGTGATACCCTGCAACGAACACTTGATTATTCATATTTAATGTTGGACACAAATACTCTTTATCACAACATTGAGCATTTTGTAAACAAGGATAAGAAGCATACAGAAAATGTAGACACATTATTATTATATCACAACATGATTAAGATGCTGCCATTAAATTTTAATAAATTTAAGAACTTGAAGGTGTTAGACATCAGTTCCAATGGACTATTACGGTTACCAGAGATACTAACAGAATGCCCTCTCACATCTCTTATTGCTAAGAATAATAATTTAGACAGTGATTCTTTTCCAAAATCCTTTGGTGCCCTTGTGAATCTAAAAGAACTCAATGTTAGTGGAAACAATCTCACTTCCCTTCCTGAGCAAATACTTGAAGCTACAAGCTTGAAGTATCTTTATTTGGGTGGCAATCATATAAGGGAACTCTCCAAAGACATATGGAAATTAAATGGGTAAAAGATATTTTTCATTTTATGGTTTCATTATTTTTTCTACATATATGTACTGATGTAGATATAAATATGAAGGTGGCATTCAGTTACCCTTTAATCTTTGCAGGCTTCAAATTTTGTACATTGGTGGAAACAAACTTGTAGATGTACCAGAGTCTGTTGGCAAGCTAAAGCAATTGCAAGCCCTCAATCTAAGTGACAACATGCTGGAAAGTCTACCAGCTGCCATTGCAAATCTGAAGAACCTAAAGTCACTTTCACTTCACAAAAACAGGCTTCGGACTCTTCCAACAGAAATCATCACCTTGAAATGTTTAACAGAGGTTTGTATTGTGTTTCTACATTGGTGACAGAATTTGTTGATACATCTGAGTCAGGTGTAATGGGCTAAGCACCGTAGAGTCAATGAGCAACTTTGTGATTAATTGCAGAACTTTGCAGAGACATCATTGCATGCTTTTCCCATTCAGTATTACTTACCATGTGTTACAGAATAGCTTCAATCTTTACTTATAAACAACCCTTCCATTTTGAGACAGTTTCTAAGCACACAGAAGAGCTTCATAGTAACTTTCCACACTTTGGTAGCACCTGTGATTGGGGCTGGCAGGAGATCACAGGGGAACAGAGTGGCTGCTTGGGGTGGCATATTATTTTAGACTTTTTTGGGTGGGAGGTTAAGCAAAGATTAATTTTTGATGATTTTTGGTTCATGTGAGCATGTTATTTAGCAGTGTAAATAAGACTATTTTGAGAATTACAGCACCAATGACACTTTTCAACGTTCGGAAATTCGATAGTATTAATGAAGCTTTGAGATTTAACAAAGAGGATGGTGGTATTTCTCATCAGGTGGGGTGGAATTTAAGCTTGTCAGCCCTGTCTGGTATGGCATTTTGTAAGGTCACTTACTGTATTTCCTAGACTGTAAGATAGAACCAGACTTTATAGGAAAAAACTTTTATTTGGAAACACTGCCTGTTTATAAGGTTCATGCAGATTGTAGAAAGCATTTTCCAGTAAATGTGTGTTATATTTTGTGGAAAATACAGTAAGAAAACTACAACCACCAGAAAAAATCTTGAATACAAGATTAATTCTCTGTAATCTGGAGACACAATGCAGTTGTGGTTTTTAGATATAACATAGATGTTAGGGTTTTGTTCAGGGGGAGATGAGCTTTCTGACACAACATTGAAAACTGTATGGTGTAATGATTTAGTGGGGGTTCTAACAAAATACTGATGCCACCAAATTTCTCTTTCAACAAAATATATAAATTGTCTTCAGCGAAACTAAACTATACATGTATACTGATTGTAAGGCTGTGAACAGTCATAATTTGAATAATGTTACTAGCAATGGGAGATATAAAAAGACAAACAGTAATGGCCTGATGTAGAATAACAAGAAATTCTTTGAAGAACTAATTGCCTACTTTCCTTTGATACAACCTGGACCGCATAGAAAACAATGTGTCCCAACAATTCTGCTATTGCCTAACAATGATAGGGGGACACACATACAGACACACAGACTAATGGGAGGGATTTATGAAGTATGCCATTGAGATCCACTCATATCATGATATACATACTAAGTTTCATAGATTCATTCAGGCATTCAGAAGTTGACAGGGGGATGCACAGACACAGCACTGTGATCACATAAGCCTACTTTTATTTTCTGAAAATAGGGAAAGTAGGCTGAAAATTGTTAGATGGGTTGGATGGCTGAAGAATCACAGTTTGATTTCTGGCAAGAGATTTTTCTGTTCTCAGCAGCATCCAGACCGGCTCTGGGGCATCTATCCAATGGGTATCAGGGTCACTTTCCCTCAGGGTAAAATGTGCTGGGACATTAAGCTAACCATTTACCCCCACCTATTGTCAGGGTGAATAATGCATGGAGCTACACCATCACTCCCTCATATGTCTTTGCAGCATGGTGCTTAATTAATTAAGCACAGGAACAACTTCAGTTTTATACCTGACCATGGTTTAGTGATAAACATAACTCCTGGTAGTATAATCAGCAGTTGCAGAACCACAATCAGCCAAGGGCACATTCTTCCCCCCCCCCCCNCAACTTATTTATTTATTTAAATTTGCTAATCATTTGTGTCATGTGGGGGCATGCGGTAGCGTTGTTGGTTGAGGCAGTGTGCTACAAGCTGGAAGGTTGCGGGATCAAATACTGATGAGGTGGAATTTTTATTTTTCCAATTTACCTAATCCTTCCAGCCGCACCATGGCCCTGGGGTTGACTCAGCCTCTAACAGAAATGAGTACCAGGAATGTTCTTGAAATATTCTTGGGGGTAAGGGGCGGCTGGCACCTAAGGCTGACAGCCTTGCTGCCATCTATAAGCTGATTGTCTAAAAACTGAGGGAACCTCAGCATCTCACAACCCCATGGGTCTCCATGGCCTGTTAAGCGGGATACCTTTACTTTTATTGTATCATGTAGGTTCAATCTTCAGAGTTCATGTCTCATCTTTCATACATGAAATATCTTAAAAACTTGCATTATGCTTTTGAGCTTGTGTGTTCTGATAATGTACTTCAGTTCCTGTGCTTAAATAAGCACCACAATATGAAGATGTTGGGGAAGTGGATGTGTAACTCCTCACATTTCTTAAATTCAGCTGTAATGGAGGTGAGTGGTCAGCTTCATGTTCTGGTCACTTTACATCTGTGAAAGAGGCTCTCGAAATATCCTTTGGATAGGAGGGTGGGTGGGCACTAGGTCTGCTCTGGATACTCCAGAGAAGACAAGCATCACTTTTGCTTGCCAGGAATTGAACCCCAATTCCTTGGTTACCCAGTCCATAGCTTAGCCACTATATGAACTGTACCACCCCTCGTAACTGTAATAATAGTAGCAGTGTGTGGTATCTAGAGTTTTGATCAAGTTGAGAATTAAGCACTATAGTATGTTGCATATGAGGTTCTTACAGTGGTGACTATGAAGAATTTTGTCTCCTGGGTTGTATATAGTTTTGAGAGGGCCCAGTATGTTAGGAACATGTCGCCTCCATCTTGAGGGTTGAGGTGTGAGCAAAACAAGAAACCGGCAGAGTTCTGCTCTGCTTCTGCTGTGAAGTTTGGGCACATGCTCATATTTTGGAGGAATGCACTTCCTCATTTTTGTGAGTCCAAGAGTCAGCTAGTACATTCCTCTGAAATGTCACTGGCTTTTCACCAGACTCCAGTATTATGCAGTAGAAGACAGAACTCTTCATCACCACTCTGAGAACCTAAAATCCACCATCTTAGTTTAGAGAAGTGTGGGTGTATGCACTTACAGGGTAATGTTCACAATGGAAATTTTGAATCCTTTAAATATAATTTTAAGTTGCTGTATCTAAAAGACTAATTATGGTAGAAGACTGCTTCAATGATTGTAATTTAATAATGCAGAGACAAGGCACAATAGTAAACAGGGAATTCTGGGTAGAACTCATAAAGCCTATATGCTTGTTACATGGACTTCTGTTCCTACAAATCATGCTGTTAATGTTATACTCAGATAAAGTAAATTTATAATGCAACAGTGAAATTAACTTTAGGTTGTGGGGTTGCACAGAGGTTTAGCAGTTGCAGCCTCACTGTGGATGATGGATTTGTGAAGCTTATGTCGGACAGTTTTTGTGAAAACAGGGTCTTCAAGATGAATATTCAGTTCTGCTGAACTGTCACCTGTGCTGCAGTAGTTGTATGAATTTTAAAAACAATCCTTCTCAATGCTCAATGATCAATTTCTGTCACTGCTGATTTTCGCCCACTGTCCCTCTTTGCTGATATTTTCTTTGCATGATTCTTGTATGCTGACATAACGTTAGAAACTGCTGCTCTTGATACACTTAATAATATGGCAGTTTTTATCACAGATTCTCGAGCTAAACACACACCAACCATCTGTCCTCTTTTAGAATCAGACAAGTGTGCAGTTTTCCAGTTCTTTCACATGGATTGCCACTTAACACAATTAATTAATGCGCTGACATGAGCACTACAGAGTGTAAACAAATGGAAGAACATTCAGTGTTGCCAGCTGGAGTTCTTTCAATGTAGCCAACATAAATTCTGTTCTTCAGTTTCTTAATGTTTCCATTATTTTGTTCACCCCCTGTGTATATGTTTATGATCTGTGTCCACACTAAATTTCAGATGCTTAGTTCCAGTGGTTCAGTAGTTATTACCATCAGATTGAAAGCAACATAAATTTTATGCCTCAATTTTGTTATACATTCCACTAAAGATTACCCATTTTTTAAAAATAAATTTCAGGATACTAGATTCATGTCACTACTGTCACTTCCATCACACAAGTTGGTGTGTCCACCATGTTATTAGTCATTATAGGGAATTAAAACTATGATGAAATGATCAATAATAGTATAATGCCCATACCAAATCCCCTGAAAATCAGTAATCTGGTCTGGAAGTTGAGATGGGTAGGACATAACATTGACATCATGATTTCATAAGCATGTTTTTTCCCCTTAAAATAAGTAAACTAGCATTCATGTATGATGACAATTTAAGTAAGTGATCTTACACAGTCCCATGTTAGGTGGGTCCCTTGTCACCACGGCATGGCACATCCTTAGGTTTGCGGATGGAGGAGACTCCCTCCAGTTTTGGAGGGAAGCTGCAAATATATTGACTAAGCAGTTGTGGACAGCCGACAAGGGGTGGTCCTCCAGGTTGGGGGTTGGGCGTGGGGCTGGTAACTCCTCACCGTAAAAGATTACTTTGTTACGAAAATGAACACAAAGCCTCGGACCTGGACGGATTCCTTAGATAAATAACCTAAGCTAAAGAAAATGGATATGAGAGTTGGCACTTGGAATGTTCAAAGTTTGTATAGGGCAGGTTTGCTCAGGGCAGTGGCAGAAGAAATCTTAAAATATAAGTTACATTTAGCGGGAGTACAGGAGGTCAGATGAGATGGAGGTGGCATCGCACCAGCAGGAGACTATACATTTTTCTATGGAAAGGGGAATGAAAATCGTGAATTAGGTACAGGTTTTTTCGTACATAAGAGAATCGTATCAACAGTTAAGAGGGTAGAGTTCGTTAGTGATAGGATATCATATATAATACTAAAAGGTCGCTGGTGTGATACCATTGTTATGAATGTTCACGCCCCAACAGGAGATAAAATTAATGACATGAAGGACAAATTCTATCAAGAACTAGAACATGTATTTGATAAGTTCCTGAAGTACCATATGAAAATTTTTTAGGAGATTTCAATGCCAAAGTAAGGAGGGAAGACATTTTCAAACCAACGATTGGGAATGAGAGTTTGCATGAAATTAGTAATGATAATGGAGTTAGAGCAGTAAACTTTGCCACATCAAAAAAAAATCTTACCTTCAAAAGTACAATGTTCCCACATCGTAACATCCATAAATTTACTTTGACATCTCCTGATGGGAAGATACACAATCAAATCGACCATATTTTGATAGATAGGAGACAGCACTCAAGTATACTTCATGTCTGATCATTCAGGGCAGCAGATTGTGATACTGACCACTACCTGGTGGCGGAAGTTTAGGGAAAGACTGGCAGTGAGCAAATAAACAACACCCAGAGTTCATATGGAGAGGTTCAATCTAAAGAAATTAAATGAGGTAGAGGGTAAAGAGCAGTATTGTGTTGAAATCCGAAATATGTTTGCGGCTTTGGAAAACTTGGACACTGAGGTGGATGTTAATAAAACTTGGGAAACTATTAGAGAGAATATAAAAATGTCTGCCAAAGAGAATCTAGGTTATTAGGAACCGAAGAAGCATAAGCCATGGTTCGGTGAAGGATGCTCAAAATTATTAGATCAAAGAAAGCAGGCCAAATTGTAGTGGTTACAGGATCCAAGCGAGTTAAATGGGGAAAATCTAAACAATATGAGACGTGAAACCAACAGGCATTTCAGGAACAAAAAGAGGGAATATCTGAAAGACAGAATTGATGAGCTTGCAGTGAACAGTAAGAACAAGAACATTAGAGACCTGTATAGAGGAATAAATCACTTTAAGAGGGGTTACCAGCCTAGCAGTAACTTAGTGAAGGATGAGAATGGTGATATGCTTGCAGATTCCAACAACATTTTGGATAGGTGGAGGAACTACTTCTCTCAGTTATTGAATGTACATAGGTTAGGCTGAGCTGTTAGTACCTGATCCTAGCCCTCTTGAGGTTAAAAGTGCCATTGCAAAATTGAAATGGTATAAATTGCCAGGTAATGATGAGATTCCTGCAGAACTTATTCAAGCAGGAGGCGAAATATTACATTGTAAGATCCAGAATCTAATTACTTTTATTTGGCATAAGGAAACATTGCCTGATCAGTGGAAGGAGTCTATTATTGTACCAGTTCACAAGAAGGGTGATAAAACTGACTGTAGTAATTATAGGGGGATATCACTGCTATCAACTTCATACAAAATTTAATCCAATATTCTTATCTCAATGTTAAGTCCATATATAAATGAAATTATTGGGAATCATCAGTGTGGGTTTCAATGTAACAGATCAACTACAGATCAGATCTTTTGTATTTGACAGATATTGCAGAAAAAATGGGAATACAATGAGACAGTACATCAGCTATTTGTAGACTTCAAGAAAGCCTATGATTCAGTTATAAAGGATGTATTGTACAATATTCTGATAGTTTGGGATACTCATGAAACTAGTTAGGTTGATTAAAATGTGTTTCCAGGGAAACCAGGTGGGACTAAAATTAAACGGGACACATCAGCTGTTGGTCTACGCCAGTGATTTGAATCTACTGGGTGATAATGTAGATACCATAAAGAAAAACACACAAACTTTAATTGACGCAAGTAAAGAGGTTAGTCTAGAAGTAAACACAGAGAAAACTAAGTATATGTTGCTGTCTTGTCACCAAAATGCAGGGCAAAATCATGACTTAGAGATAGGAAACAGAAGTTTTGAAAATGTGGCACAGTTCAGATATTTTGGAATAACAATAACAGATCAAAACCTGATGCAGGAGGAAAATAAGAGGAGATTGAACTCGGGTAATGCTTGCTACCATTCAGTCCAGAACCTTTTGTCTTCTCATCTGCTGTCCAAAAACATAAAAATTAGAATATACAAAACTATAATTTTGCCTGTGGTTCTGTATGGGTGTGAAACTTGGTCTCTGACATTAAGGGAGGAACATAGACTGAGGGTGTTTGGACTCAAGAGAGATGAAGTGACAGGAGGTTAGAGAAAACTGCACAATGAGGAGCTTCATAACTTTTACTCTTCTCCAAGTATAATTGGAATGATCAAGTCAAGGAGGATGTGGTTGGCAGGGCATGTAGCGCAAACGGGGGAGACGAGGAATGCGTATAGTATATTGGTGGGAAAGCCAGAAGGAAAGAGACCACCGGGAAGACAGAGGCATAGGTGGGTGGACAATATTAAAATGGATCTTGGAGAGATAGGATGGGATTGGACTGATCTGGCTCAGGATAGGGACTAGTGGAGGGCCCTTGTGAACACAGTAATGAACTTTTGGGTTCCATAAAATGCTGGGAAATTCTTGAATAGCTGCAGAATTGGGGACTCCTCCAGAAGGGCTCAACTCCATGAGTAAGTAAATCTTACACAGTCAGCTTTTAGAATGTACTGTATGGATGTGGCGAGCATGCGGTAGTGTACTTGGATTTTACAATTATCCTAATCCTTCCAGCCACACTATGGCACTGGTGTTGATTGGGCCTCTAACAGAAGTGAGTACTAGGAATCTTCCTGGGGGTCAAGGGTGGCTAAATCATTGGGGGGGGGGAACAAAGTGTAAAAGTAACATGCATTTTGTCTCTGTAATATTAAATTTATATAGATTGGAAAGAGATGGTTACTTATTGCAGGAAGAGTTCACAGAAAGTCTGTGGAAAGATAAAGTATTTTCCCCAACTTAATGAATGTTGTTAATATAAAGATAACTAATGGTGCAGAAAGTGCAAGGCCTAGAAGCATTTACTGAATATAGTCTATGTTTAAAGCTGTAATGATGACTACACCTGCATTCCATAGTTTCAGGGGGAGGTACTGAAAGGGCACAATTTACAAGCACATTAGTTAAGAACATAAATGGCAGAATAATGTGAACGTCATCATTGTTTGCACCTTTAAGAGGTTAAGGTAAACTTATCCCTGTAACAGGTTGTGAAGGCCCATAGGGTTGTGAGAGGTTGAGGCTCCGACATCTTTTAGACAATTGGCTCACAGGTGGCAGTAAGGTTGTCAGCCTTATGTACTGGCTGCCCTTTAGCCCCAGGAAGATACCTGGTACTCATTTATGTTAGGGGCTGAGTTGACCTCAGGACCATAGTGCAGCTGGAAGGATTAGGTGAACTGAAAAAAAAATCCACCTCATCGGGACTGGAACCTGTCACCTTCTGACTTGTAACATAGTGCCTCAACCAACTACACTACTGCATACCCCACCTTTAAGAGGTTTCACAAGCAATTCTCTAGAGCCACATTAAGTTTTATTTCCTTGTTTCATGACTTGTTGTTGTGGGACAGGTAGAAGTTTTAGGATTTGCCTCTGTGCATTCATCATTTCATGCACATATTACAAAACACAGAATACTTCTGTAAACTGGATAGAAGTCAGTAATGCCAATGTGGACCTCAGCAGGTTGGAAAAATGCCTTTCATGGTGTGCATTTTAACATTCCCAGATTAAGATGATGTGTGAATAAAATTCTGTGGATAAACTTGTAACACATTTGCATTGCTTGTTTTGATTTGTGTCACATCCTTTCCACTGTAACTGAGAATAGAATAGCAGAATTATGACACAGTAAGGCCAACCTGCTCTGTGAACTCAAAGAACGGATTGAACACAAAATTGTCTTTTTCTTAGTAGCAACTACAAGATATGGACAGTATTTCCACACTGCATTTTTGTACACGAGTAAAATCTTTAGTCATCCTAGATGGTGATACACAAAACATTCCTGCAGTTCCAGTTACATAATGATTTTTTTTTTCTATATTGAGATGCCTGGTTTCAAGAGCATGTGAAGTATTGCAAACTTTACACAACAGTCAAAAAAGTTAAGTGTTTAGTGGGGGAAAAAAAACTGTAATGTTTGAGGACAAACTGCAGGATGTGGAAACGTGCAGAAGTTCATCTGGAAAAATGTCATAGCTAGGACCAGTTGCATTTGAATATTTCGAGTCAATTGCAGGCATGTGTGTGCACACTTTTATTGCCTTACCAAAGTATATAATCTTGGTGCCATGTTTTATATCTTGAAGAACACAATATTTTTTAAAGAAACCAGTGCCTGTAGTGTTTACAATTAGTGTGATGTAACACATATGCTCATTTGGTTGACTCAACCTACAAACATGAATAATTTTTAAAAATAATATAAGAGCTCTGAACAGTGTTCAGTCTAGCAGATGAGAACATGATAATGGAACAATAGGATTTTATTGTTACAATTTTATGTACCTATTGATGGCCCGGGTTCCATTTCTGGCATGGAAAAATTTTTGTCTTTACTGCATCCAGGCAGGTAGTAGGGGGCTCTTTTGCTGGGATAACGTGGCTGGGGCATGAAGCTGACTACTCACCTCCATCTACTGCTGAGGTTCAGAATGGTGGAGCTATACCTCCACTTCTGTTTTCATGCCATAAAAAAGTAAAGCTATCCTTGTAACAGGCCATGGAGGTCCATAAGGTTGTGAGACATTGAGGCTCCCACATTTTATAAGACAGTAGACTCACAGATGATGGTGAGGTAAGCCTTATATGTCAGCCAGCCACCCTATATCCCATGGAAGATTCCTGGTACTCGTTTCTCTAAGAGGTTGAGTTGACCTCAGGGCCATAGTGCAGCTAGAAGGATTAGGTCAATTGAAAAGTCCAATGACCTAATTGGGAATCAGATCCACAACCTTCCGGCTTGTAGCATATTGCCTTAACTAACTATGCTACCATGTGCCCTATCTTCATTTAATTAAGTGCAGGGACGACAGGGAATAATATTTTTAAGTCTAAACTGCATAGTTAAAAATCTTATGGTACAGAAAAGTCCAGAAATCTAAAATGTATAATTTTATAATTTCTAAAGTACTGTTTACCTCTCAGTTAAGTTTACGAGACAATCCACTGGTGGTGCGCTTTGTAAGCAACATGACGCTCAATCCTCCAAGTCTTCTAGAACATGCTGGGAGAACAGTCAAGGTCCATGGGATACCGTATGGAGCTCCAGATCTGCCGATGTGTCTTGTTGAATACTTAAACAGTGCTCATCATTGTGTCAACCCTAAGTGCAAAGGTAGTGAATGTATTATACCGATATCCAATTTCTCTATTAGTTGGTATTTGTATCTCATTATGAAGTGTTACGATCATACTTTATAACTACAGTCATTCACTTAAAAAATGTAATGTCTGATGAAATGTTGCAGAAACTAGTTTGGCCCGCTGTCTTGAACTCAGCAGTCCTGTTGAAACAAATGAAATACTAAAAAGATTTAGTCCCACCTTAAATAAAAATGTGGGTTCTGCAACTTTTGAAACTAATTGTTTGAATTTGATTCGTTTCATTTTGGTCCGTCACACTAACAGTTACAATTCTAAAAGACAAGTCAGTCCAATGTGACTATTTCAGTTTTGTCACTTGATGATTCACTAGCCTTACATGTTTCGATCCATTTGGATCATCTTCAGAGGCACCAAACACTTTTTTGAAACCACTATCACAACAGTTGTCAATCAAATACACATGTAATGTCCAAGTACACAATGTTCCATCTATCAGTCACAGCAGCCTTTCTGGTTATAGAAATATTTAAAGTTGTTTTAAAAACTTTGTTAAAAATTAAAATTCATAAACANCTGCTGTGACTGATAGATGGAACATTGTGTACTTGGACATTACATGTGTATTTGATTGACAACTGTTGTGATAGTGGTTTCAAAAAAGTGTTTGGTGCCTCTGAAGATGATCCAAATGGATCGAAACATGTAAGGCTAGTGAATCAAGTGAGAAAACTGAAATAGTCACATTGGATGGACTTGTCTTTTATAATTGTAATTGTTTGACGTAAAATATTTTGTCTCTCTTCTGTCTTGAAGGTGTATTCTTTGACAACAGAGTGGAGCACATAAAATTTGTGGACTTCTGTGGAAAATATCGTATTCCCCTGCTGCAGTACCTCTGTTCATCAAAATGTATTGAAGACAATTCCAACAACCATGTTGATGAATCAGGAGCATGTGGCTATGCCAACAGCAATATGATGAAGAAAGTTCTGCTTGGTTAGGCACTTCCTCTTCTGCCTGTCTTGTACTGACAGTGGCTTAGCTCAATTCACTGTGTTCATATTTCAGGAACGTTCCTACATTAATATTACATGTTTCTAATGGTAGTTACTACTAAATACTGGAAGATAGAGCACAATAAGTTGTGCATAATTTCTTGCAAACTGTGTTTTCTATTTCCTGAATAAGAACATAAAAAAGACTGATGAAATTTCTTAATTATGTTTTATATGGAGGAGAATATTTGAATTTAGAAGTTGAGAATTTATACTTCATGGCAAAATCAGCACATCACATATCACTACACAAATGTACATTCAATTTAGTACCTCAGTGTGTGTGGAAGGTTCCAACAACAGCTATCATATAATAATGGTTGTTCACTATATAATCTTGAGAGACTTATTGTGGTACAAATTAATGATCTAACTCATAGGAAATGAAAATTATAGGCAACTTTGCAGGTAACTTTATACTCGTAATACACAATTAAAGAATCTGAGTGTATGTTTTAAGAAGGGAATAAAATGATTTCTTTGGACTTTCAAGTAGAAATCTGCATTACTTATTGAATTCCTTTTCATGTCTTTTTATTTTTCAGAAAAGCAACTTTTATTTATTTCATACAGCAGTTGGTATGTGGCAAGGCAATGGCCACGCATAGTCTTTTAAATAATCTGTTACTCTAGATAGCGAATTTTGCTTTCAACTTAGAGAAGAGAAAAGTTTAACATTTATTTCCCCTAGAACGGTAACTACCACACAATAACTGGAGAATGATCTAGAAATCTAGAACCTATTTCAATAGCTCTGTCACCGATTCCAAAATATAGACACCATGAATAAATGTGAGTGTGTCATCTCAATGGGTATGATACTTATCTTATAAAAATGTTTTTTTTTTCTTTTACAGCACATGAATATAGAAACATTTCTTTACATGTGTGCTCATTTAAAAGTATCCATGTGCCTTAGTTTTGGATGGATTACAATTCTTTACTTTTCTCTTTTTTAAGTGTCAGCATTTTGTTTTCATGAATTTCTGTTAGCAATAGGCAACTTCCTGACACACACAAATATCTCAACTGACACAAGTCTCTGTTTTATCTAACAACTAATCTGTTTTGAATATGTTTAAATATACCAAGGAAAATAATGATAATAAAGACAGTAAAGCAGCAGATTATTTACAGCAATGAAAAATCTCGGGAGATAAATACAAGATGGCATCTCGCTACCTCTATAATGAAGGAAGTGCAGAGAAATACTCCCGTGTTGTGAAAAGTCAAGCACGGAAGATCTTTCTCGAGATATCTCACTTCTTACGGAATCGTTATATTCATCCATACTCTTTAAGTATTATCTTTATTTCTTATGTGTAAACCAACCATCGCTACTTTTTTATTATGTGAAATTTACACATAACCTCCACAAATATATATTCAGCTATTAAAAAAATGGTGCCCCCAAATATATTGTTTAAACTTTGTACAGAAATGCACATGTCCACAAGTATTATTTATTATTTACTATAATATGTTTGTTTAGTTTAACAATGACATAGATCATTTAGGACACACAATGCCATCATTTAAAAACTATTAATACACACTTAACAAGTTCTTTATTATTATTTTGACGACAGCTTGCATATCAGAAACAAATCCTCCTAAGTCAGTCAGGTTTCATAAGCTGCTGAACTGAAATAACAGCATCTTTGCAATTCCCGTGCCCTTTTCCTCAAATGCTCTGTTCTAAGTTCTAATCATCCATACACATATTACACATAATTACAAATACAGGCATCGTTTGCTTTCAATTATCTTTACAGTTATGAATTTTTTTTTTGAGAAAAAAGTTAGTACAGCAAAAGCTAATTTGAAAGGCCTGATATGTGAAAATCTACTGCATATAATTCAAGTTCTCATACTGACTGGATTACTGATGCTCTATGTATATATTTATGTGTATATATATTTATTTATATTCATTCCTGAGGTGCTAAGTATGCACTCTATAACAGCCTATAACTAATCTTTCTTTTTTGCATAGAAGAAAATTTTCTCATAAAAAAGGGGGAGAAGCTAGAACTCTCATGCACAATGAAATCTAAAAGATTCCTATTATAACGCAGCAATAGCCATGCCAAATTACACATACAATATGAAGTCTCTGATATTTTTATAAGTTATTATGAAGGTGCTCACATTACAAATGTGCACTTATTTTCCTGGAAAGCTTACATGCTATGATTTTTCACACTTTTTTAAGTCATACAACTGAATACTACTGGACAAACTGTCATACAAATGGCTCATAATTTGAAGAAATATGTATCAAGAGCACTGGCAGCACAAATTATGCACACCGTATGTTCATATTCATGGTTGACTAGGGCTTAAAAAAAATACTGCATATCTAGTAATGCATTCTGCATTTATAACAGCGTTCCTAACAAGATAAATGTCAGCACACATTCACTGCTTCACTCAGATCTCAATTTGGACATGGACATTCCATTATACTAATACATTACATGGTACACAAAATCACTTTGCAGGAAAAAGAATCTCTGAGTTTTCTTATAATACACTACAGTTTCTGATTCAGACTAAATTGACACTTCTTTTATGCTGGGGAAAAAATGGTTTTAAATGTTTAGTATTAGGTCCTGAGGCAGAATGCAACAATTACACTTGTTAATATGCTCTCCTCATTTAAATATTTAAACAAAACAAAAACTAGTTGCTGAAAGTTTCTTATTTCAGTGTTAACAAACAGTATACATATTAACAGATTCAAGTAGTAAGAAATACAATAACATTCTCTTTAGGTGAACCTCAAGTAGAAGGCATGGAAATCCTTTGAAGTATACAACAGATTTGCATTCCATATGTGATTAAATACACATTAGGAAGGAGTTTACTGGTTGGAACTAGAAATAATCTTGACTACAGCCCTTTTGTGTGTTCCCTCTTCAAGACAAAGTACTGTAAAACAGCTTCACAGATGATCTCGCTTTCCCACAGTACACATCAGGACCTGTTCTCATAGCAGAAGAACAGTTAACAGAAAGTGTCAGTATGGAAGCTGTTGGAACAGAGTAGCATTGCTACTGTGGGCTTCCCCACATACAGCACAGAAGAATGGCCTAACCAGCTTTTCTTTTCTTTTTTTTTTTTGCCAGTGAATACTACACACAAAATGCTTTTAAACATAAATACATACAGAAGAAGTATTAATGTGTACTGCATAGAACAGCCATTTGTCACACAGTTCTTCTGGTGCCAGCCATTATGGATACAAATGGAGGGGGGGGGGTTTGTGTCTCACACATACTATACAAACTAATACAATTATGCAAATGAAGTCAACATTTATAAAAATATTTGGCTTGAGAAATTGGGCTGTTCTAATAGTAGGAAAATGCAACCATTTTCATTTTGTTCTGAAATGGAGAAGACATACATGTCCACACAGTTACATGACCACTTTTGAAGATGAAGGCAGAATATCCATTTCAAAACTAAATAAATGAAACCTCATCCATATTCCATACTCCACTGCAGATGGAAATTTGTATATTACTTCACACACACAAGTGACACTACACAAGTAACTTTTCTTGGAGTCATCAGTGGTTGAGCATGATCCAACAGTTACCACTGGCAAACAGGTCTTCAGCATTCCCCATATCAGTATAAAAATGTAATGCCCACAAATGTATTTCATGATTTCTGATGACCAGTATAAACTGCATTCTCGTTCCAACAGTTTCACTCTGTGACCTAGCCTTTCTGGTTCCTGAAGAGACCAAAACTGCTGTTAATGTACCATGTTTAAAATAAGCAACCCTGTGATGCAAGTTCCAGACACCATGAAATAAATGGTATCTAGAACTTGCATCAGGGAATTGTTAAAGTAGAGCACAAACTCTTATATGCTGAATGGTTTTATTTAAAAACAAAAAGTAATAAACTCAATCTGTTTCCATTATATAGATGCTTTAACAAACAGTGTTCTAAATAATTTAATACATACAAACGTTACCAAGATCTGTCTCTCTTCATCTTATATATATATATATACAAGGCTCATGGTAAGTCTGAAATTTTGATTGTCCTTTTCAGAAATTTGAAAAACAGCAGAGGCAGTAGACAGTATTATTTAATGGAAATATATCTATTCGTGAGCAGATTCAACATTGCTACAATTGTGCAGTACCCAATGACTTTACACAAGTTTCATAACTAACCAGATTTGATTATTAGTTACAGTAGTTTATTTAGCAGTATTAATTAAATCAGTTCTTTCTATCATGCCGTTCAAGGAAATCAACTTTCTGACATACAGGAAGGAAACAACTGTGATACTTCACGGTTAACCATTTGTCAGATTCAACGCACAACCTCTCGAACATAAATGTAAGTACGATAACAGATTTAAACTGTCAGTGGTACATGGTTTTGTGTACCCCTATTCATAAGCGTTCTTTTATTTCATCAACACTGCTCTCAAGTACTAGCTCATCACATTTTTAGTTTGACAACTTCTTCTTTTTACTGTTGCTAGTTCTTATTTCTCCAGCAAGGATAACCATTGCTGCTGAAAATTTGAATCCAGCTACAGGACAGTGTAGAGTTCTACCCTTAGTACATAATCAGCAGTCTCGAGAATGAACTAGATGTTATGTCGACATACACTTCGCATTAAGCACCTTCCCCAGCCAATAATCACTTGCACATTCTCTACTTCATATACAAGCTAACACCATTATGAAAGTAAAATTATAAATGGTCCTGACAAATTTGGAGATGTCACATATTGCACAACAGAAAGGCAAATCATTCATATTTTTTACAAAGCACCAATCTTTCTTTTTAAAAATTCGATCCACTTCGCATACAGCTACAGAAGCTAAAATGAAGTCACTTCAATAAAAAGGAGAGTATAAGTGAAACCACTGTGTATGCGACACACTGTGGATTTCATTTTTGAAATGGTCAACATGTAAAAGGATGTATGATTTAAAAAGAGGGCTAAAATGAACAATTTTAACAATCCCCATCCTTCCCCCCCCCCTAACCACTTTACAATAAAACAGCAATCCATCCTAAATACCCCTCCTCTGCTTGAAAAGCTAAAATAATACTTTCCACTTACAATAAGAAAATGAGGAAACATTAATTCATATCATTTGTTTAAACATTTTCACAATGCTGCACATTTAATTATTAATCAGCCCATTCCATGCTGGTTTACTAACTTACTACTTACAGTATTTGGCAGCTTTAGCTTTCAAAAGATGATGTAAAGAAACAGCCGGTGAGTAATCTGGAGGGGAGAACTATTTATACATCTGTTAAGTAATTTATAATCGCAATATATACGCACAAAGATGGAACAAGATTTAAACTGTACATTTGATTTACTGTGGATAGTATTTGTTCCTTTTCATTACAGAGCAAAATGTATTACATCCTGACCAAATTACATCTTATTGAAGGATATTCCCATGTCTAATTTTTTATAGTTTCCTTTACTTTTACTTGGATAAGTGTAAAACAGAAAGATGTCACACATTTTGATACAAAATCCAAATGTGGCAAGTCTCCACTTTTATTATTATTTATTTGATTCAGGCTGTGAGAGAACTGATCAACTCACGATGTCCATATTTATATCCCATTTCAACCTTCACATTCTCTTTAACGCAAGATATCAGATAGTCAGTTTCCACTGAGTTCCTTTCCTCTATAACTTACATCAAATAATAAAAAGAATGGTATGGCATCCAACACTGAATCTTCAACATTCTCAATAATGTCATTTGCATGTTGCCCTAATGTACATCTGTTGTCATCATGTGACCTGCTAGTTGTGGGCATAGTTTTGGTGGTTCCCCTGACATGTGTAGGATGATTGCCTTATGTTGCTTGTGTTTCCCACCCTTCACGATACATCTCATTTTACATTTCTTCAACTGGATCACACTTGTCGTCATATTACCACTGCTGCTAGGTGTGGTCTTGATAGTTGGTCTAGTTGTTTGGTGTGGACGTAGTGACATGTGGCGGAGTTTAAACAAATGGGCTACCTCAAGCCATTCCAGATGCTGCTGCAGCTGCTCCACTGGGGGACGGGACATTTGGGTCAGCTGTTGCCATTGAGTTGGTGTCTGCAGATGGTGCACTGACACCTGGGTTACCACTAGCACCACCATTTCCATCTGCTCCTGAATTTCCTCCTCCACCACCACCGACACCAGATCCTTCTTGCGCATGGCGTGGCAACAGCACTGAATTGAGAGATGGCTGAATGCTCAGCTCTGGGGAATGTAACCAGTAAGTGTGAAACACAGCATAAAATGTTCATACTGAAGGCATACATGCACACCACACACTGCCAAATTCAGTCTCTATGTCTCTCCTAAACAGAGAGTCACAGAAGAAATTGGTAAAGACAAAAAATATTCCTATTTCAGAGATAACCATGGAAAAAGTGTTAATTTTGCTGCCACATGTACAGACTCAACTTTAAACCAACTTATTTTCCCATACCTCCTCTGTATGAAAGGCAACAGGATCATGATGGCAATGGCATCATTACTATGATATGGGGGGGGGCAAAGTATAATCTCCTGTTGCTAGATAAGGGACAATAGTGAGGACAGGGTGAACATATGGGACAAAAAGGAAAACAGGAGAAAAGATGGAAGGGGCTAATTTAACTTGAGGGAAAGACATGGAGGAGGACGAAAAGAATGATGATAGGATGAACATTAGATGGGAAAGGCATGCTGAAGAAAGAAGGGAAGAAGATAAAAATATAAAAGGGATATAGCAAAGGAAGAACAAATGGGTAAGGTAAGTAAGCATGATGACCAAAAACAGTTCCTGAAATCACAATGCAGGTTTTTCTGTATGGGCACAGTAGTTATAATATCAATTCTTTGTTGTGTTGTATCCAGGGACCATGAAGAATCAACTCACCCTGTTCTGTAAAGTTGAACAGTGGTGGCAGTTCCCTGCCGTTTGGTAGCCGTGTGTTCGTCTCTCGTAGTTCATCAAAGAAAGTGTGGGCACATGCCTGGAGTGGGGAGATACGGGATGAAGGTGTGTACTCTAGCAGCCGTGACACCAGATCTATTGCCTCGGGTGGTGTGCGTGCACGGAACACCTGTCATCAGCACCAGAAAGTCACATACGTATTGCAAACAAATAAAAGTACAGCTCAATAGAACTGAAGCAAAGTTTGAAGGAAGCAGACTACTGTGTCCCATATGTTTCAATATGCTGGACATTCCACATGTCTGGAACTGCAAGTTATGCTGGAGTACTGACACACAGCTGCTATTAAGTACGATCAGTGTCTTACCATATACCCAACTTATTCCTGAGAAAAACCCCTACAGCTAAGAATTACTTCCATTTGGTTGCCTACTCACCGCCATCACCCTTAACTGGGACAAGGAGAAGACATATATTTCCTATAGTTCCACACTTGTGGGACAACCTGCAGAAAAATAATGTTGCTGCTTCTGTTTATCTCAAAACAGAACTGTATCATAGCAAGTGCTATTAGCATTGTCCAGAATTTAAAGAGTAATAAAGCACAAATATAATAAATAAAAAATAGTATCATCAAATGCAACTGCACATGGCCAATACTACTTCTTACAATGGAACACACAAGACCTGTTATCAAATACTTATGTGTTGTGAGAAACAGGTGTAAGCTAACTGGCCAACAACGTGAAATGAAAATCCATACATGTGTAGCACCAGAAAATAAAGGCTTTGCCCTCCATACCAAATTAAATATTGCTACTAGGAACCTTTCATTTTTAATCTCTATCAAATGTGCAGCATAAGTTTTTGATAATATTGTGACGTATTGCGCTATGGAGGTCATCCCCTCCCCTGCCAGCGGTGACGTAGCGGCATCGGAGCGCTGCTGCTGCTCTGATAACAGGCCAGCCAACACTCCTCCCCCTCCCCTGCAGTGACGTGGCAGCGCTGCCTACTGTGATGTAACACACGACATCGCTGTTGACACAGGCAACAGCAAACGGTATAACAAGCGGCTGAGCAGTGTGTGTGAGCAGGAGTGACACAGTTAAAAGGCAGCAGCTGCCGAAGACAGTTGAAATGTAGTCACCAATGGAGACAGCTGAATTGGAACAGTCACCGAGGTCAGTTGTAGCGAGCGAATCGTGAAGGCGGAAAGAAGAATACTGGAATGTGTGATTAGACGTGATAGTGTGAGAAGGTATTGGGAGTGTGCAATACAGTGACACTGGTATAGCTCCCGTATTTTACTGTGAATAAGTGAAGACTACTGAAGACAGTACTAATTGGAATATTATCTCCTGCTCAAAGGACTTCAGTCAACCGACTGAAATTACTTTTCTGAACTACCGAAATTCATTTTGAAAACCCTAACTGAATTAAAGTTACAGCCACTTAAGATGAAATCTGGAATGAACAATTCCTAGACGTCAGGTGGAATGGTTTTAATCCATAACATTTATGAGAGTGAGTTATTATGCAAAGGCAGATCCCATTTAAGAATCAGTTAAGTATAATTTGTGAGAAATGTATGCAATTAGTGGAAGAGGTACAAACAGCTATAAACAGGTAACATATCAAAGCAAAACCCCCTTGACTAAGCCAAACATAACATTTTTCCAAAAATAATGAATTTTGTGGAGTTAGGAGAGATTCTTGTTCTAGCTGCACCTGACTTGCAGCCACACGATGCTCTCACCGTACCAGACAATGAATGAGTCTTATGTGGTTTTTCCTCAACTCAGTAGGCAGTACGTCCAATGGATCCTTCACAGACATTTGCTTAAAATTTCCATAGTCATATTTTATTTATGAAAATGTCTATGCAGGGGAATGTGGTAGCAAAGCTGGAGGGCTGCAGGTTCGATTCCTGATGTCACTGGACTTTTCAATTGACCAACTCCTTCCAGCCATACTGTGGCCCTGGGGGTAAAGGGTAGCTGGCGTGCAAGGCTAACAATCTCACTGCCACCAGTGAGCTGACTATCTAGAAAATGTTGGAGCCTCGAGGTCTCATAACCCTATGGGCCTCCACGGCCTGTTACTGAGATATCTTTACTTTTTTTACATGTCTATGCAACTAATATTTTTTTTTTAAATTGCATAGTGGGGGGTGGAGTCCTGGGTCCACTCAGCATGTTGGCCACTGACTGGCCTATTGTACCTGCCCCAGGTGATTATGATGGAGAATTTGGTGGAATGAAGATTGGCGGGGGAAACCGAAGTACTCTGAGAAAACCTGCTCCAGTGTCACTTTGTCCACCACAAACCCCACTTGACCAGACCCGGGCTCGAATCCTGGCTGCCGGGTTGGGAAGCCAGCGACTAACCACTTGAGCTATGGTGTGGCCTCCTACGCAAGTAAGCAACAGGATGCAAATTATCTTTATTTAACAGACTAAGCAGTACAGATAATTTGTCGACTATCACAGAATTTGCCTGGAGGAACTGAGGAAAGAAATATCAAATACTTCAGTCAGGACAGCTAGTGTTCAGAATGATACTTGTACCAGGCACCCTGTGGCGTACTGCTGGACGCAGCATGGTTAGATCTATCTTAGAGTGAGGAAATGTGTACTGAAAATGTCACAGGCTGACAGACTGATACAAATGCTGTCAGACGCATTGCTGTAACAGCTGGAATAAGAAAGAAATTGTTTTGTTTGCTTTAATAGTTTGGAGTAAGATTATTACAAATCTTCAGTAACCCCATAATCATACAATGTTGCAAGTTCTATTAAACATGTCTTAGAGCATAATAATATCTGGTTTTGATAACAAATACAAACTGTAGTACAGTAAACACGGGTAAAATGTACCACAAGAAATTCAAATAAATTATTTACTGGTTAATACTGGAGGTAGGAAATTTTGTCATTCAACACGAAGAACTTCAGTTTATAATCTTGGAGGGTAAACACAGTTGAAAGTCCTGTCACATTTATAGAACAAGCATCTTTAAACTGTAATTTTATAGGATCAGTTTTTATTACAACCTATACATGGTTGCTCTCTACACTGGTGTACTGCCAGCTGAAAATTAAAACAGAATGTTAACTGTACTGTTACCGCTTTCAGACTAAATACAGTTTAACTATGATAAAAGTTTCAAATGCAAACACAGAAGTCAGAATATAATATTACTTGCTTACATAGGACATGGGTTTCCTTTCAGTGCCCATGCAGATGAGCCTAAGAGGCAAACATGTACATATATTGACATCTATGAACATGACATGTCTACGTACAAATACAATTTAGAAGTCTGTGATGACAGAATATTAATACAATTACTTTCTGGACATTATCTAACTGTTTTTCATTTAAAAACGTTTCAGAGACTAGACTCTGCCTCCATCCTCAGGAAGAAAGCCTACTCAGTTGGGCCTAATTGAAAGAGCTAGTCCCCATCCTTGGACCCTAGATAGGACATCCCCTGGAGATACAGATTAGCACTACCGATTCTGCTCAACTCACCTGAATAGGCTTTTTACATGAAGATGGAAGTACAGTTCAGTCTCCAAAACACTGGGGTGGGGGAACAGGACACAGGATAATGTGAAAAAAGTTAATAACTGTTTACATACACTGTATCAACTATGAATATAATTTAGTTAATGATACCATCTTGGTATTTTCCTGGAGAGGTGGATATAACCCATATAAGAATCTCAGGATATTCTGCAATGTGGATGATATTTTAGCACATGTTTAGGTTTGATCTATTGGGAAAACCCTTTTCTTTTTTATGTACAAGCCTCAAACATATTTCTTATTTATCCCTTTTATACCTCTGCTCTTCTCTTCTTTCTCCTGCATTCCTTTCCCATGCCATTTGTACATCTGTCTTATCATGTTAAAACAGTTTAAGAAATATTGCTCAAAACATGCCATTACAGGGGGGGGGGGGCTAAAAANAAAAAAAAGACCAACTGTGCTATGTACTGGGAAACAAAAGAAGTTATTCCTTACTTTACTACATAATACTAATTACAGTAAACTCCCTATTATCTGGCATGTATAATGAACAGGGGTTCGGCCACACAATAACAAATATTTACAGATATCTATTACAAAACCAAACACATCTTTAGCCTACTTTCCTATTTTGCAAAAATAAAAGGAGCCTTATGAGATAACCTTGACATTTGTGTATCCTTCCCCCCCCATAATCATTTGTTCTCTATGTGGTCTGTGTTATTATCAAAGGATAGCAGGTATTAGTTCTTCCTAGACCGTCCTGCTGCTCCAGTTTTGGCACACAAGTCTTTGTAAGTGACATACTGGCTTGATGAGTGAAATATTTCAGACATATATACAATAACATGATCATGAACTGAGCTAGCGCCTACTGTAATGGCACACGTGTGATGAATGGGTACAGCCACTAGTGGAAGCTTGGGGAACTAACATGTGATTGTTGAATATATGAACACTACAAATTTGGAAGAAGTGGTCAAGGCTGTTTTCCTAGAGGGACTAAGAAAAACCATGAAACACCTCAGTCAGAACAGCCAGTCTCTCGGTTCAGCTTCCAACTGGGCACCTTCCAACAAGTCTATGGCATTACAGCTGCTACAACAACCTGCACAGTATGGCAATCTCATAATGGCATATCTTAAAGTTCTAATATAATGGACTGAACAAAATGAACATTAACCAAAAATTTAAGCAAATGATAAAACACTGGAACTCTAAATCAGAACCAGTTCATTGCGAATAACTGATTAAAAGTATATTTTTCACACATATAGTGGAAGATATTTGATGACTGTGACAGGACATGGTTTAACTGGTATGTGTTATGTGGGATGCTACTTTTCCAACTCAGACAGCTGCAGCGACATCATCACAGAGAGGGTGAAGGTACTGGTTACATATCCCTCAGAGTCTGGATGGAATATGAGACCCATTTTTTTGCTTAGTGGAGGGTGGAGTCCAGCTGGGTTCACTCAATCCAGTGGTCACCAACTGGCCTATTGTACCTGCCCTGGGTGATTATGATGATGGAGAATTTGGTGGAATGAAGATTGGCAGGGGAAACCGAAGTACTTGGAGAAAACCGGCCCCAGCGCCACTCTGTCCACCACAAATCCCACTTGAGCTATG